GCGCCCCCCCGGCCTGGGGTCGGCTGACCTCTTGGTCACCCCCCACCGTGCGGGCCCCTAGTAGTAGCTGCACGTGTACGCGATGCTTTGCAGGGCCACGAAGGTCGAGAATCTCCGGGTGATTCGGGGCCCAGAGCTGCAGTTCCTTTCCCGCGGGCCTCCCACGGACCTCACGGCGCGCCTGCGCGCCTTTACCTCCCGTCCCGAGAAGCGTCGGGAAGAGGCCCAGCAGCTGCTAGAGCTGCTCGGCCTCGCGCAGTTGTTGCATTGACTGTGCCTGTTGGTTGCCTCGAAACGTAGTCTCTCTCCTTCCTCTGCCCTCCTCTCGTCGTCCTGTCCTCCCCTCCAGCTGCCATGTCCTTTTGCTGGCCCCTCTGACGTTTCAAGCTCCCCGTTCGCCTTTTCCTCTAGTGTTCGCCCTTCTTTACCTTCCCCCGATTAAAGATCGAGTGATCATCTCTACCCAGCCCTTTGTCCCTTGATTGGTGTCCTGCGAGCCTCCCAAAAGCCATTCGCAGAAATATATACGTCCTCGTCAGGTTACCACTTCCGATACGTAATACCACGCTATTAGTGCCGCGCGTTGCGCAGGGGTTGGGTACGTCGCCAGGGTAATTAGATCATGCGGTGGAGGTTGCGCTGGCGGGGCGTGTGGGGGGGTGATTGATGTTCGAGGATTTCATGTGGGTGGTGGGGGGTGATCGCCCGCGCCACTCCACCGACGAGTTTGTTGGACCCCAGCCTGCCTTCGGCGAAGGCATGCACTGCCAACAGGTATGTGCATCATCTCTCGGTAGTTTTTTTTGTTTTTGTGCAACTGCCGCAGTGTCCCTCGGTGAGGGCCTTGATTTGGGAAGGGTTTGGGGTAGTTGAATTCGAAGTGGGTCGAGGCCACCTTGCGCGTGCCTGCTCCGTCAGGGTTTTCTGGCTAAGCGCATGCGTGAACCTGTCCTTTTTCCACGTTGTTTCGTCTCTCTTCCCATATTCTGGCATTGTGCTGGATTTGTTTGAATGGCGTTAGATTGTGTTTGGGATTGTTCTCCTTTCCTTGACCCGTAAGAATCATGTTGCACGACGCTACGAGTTTTGCTCGCGGCTTGCCCAACAATATAAAGTTGGATATCCAGGAGCAAGAGAACGTGTCGAGCACGAGTATGTATGTGTATAGATATGTATATATTTATATACGTATTTATGAATGAATGAAATTGTATATATATATATATATATATATATAATGCGCAGCCCCACCCAGCACCCATTGATTTTCATTACGATTCGCGCTGTTCGCACTCGCATGTTCTGTACTGTCCGATCCCGTTCTCGCCCTACTGCGGCGTTGAATAAGGAACGTCATTTGGAGGGCCAGACCTCGGTGGATTCTCTCGTTGCGAGGCGAAGTGGGCGATGTAGCCCGCAGCAGACCGCCTGTTGGTGGCGAGACCCTTGGTTCCTTATTGAACGCCTCCTGATCCAACACTCCACCTCTTCTTACTATCCCTCTACTTGTCCATTCTCTTCCTTCGCCCCCTGTATGTCTTCCTCCTCCTCCTCGTCAGTTGTCTCCTCCCCCCTCCTCCCCTTCCGCCTCCTTCCTCTTCCTCCTCCTCTTCCTCCTCCTTCTCCTCATTTCCTCCTCCTCCTCCAGGGCTCGCGACAATGGTGATGCGCAAACCCCATGATTTCACTGGGATTCCCTGGAATTCTGTGATGCAGATCAACGAAACCCTATGATTTCACTGGGATTCCTGGGATTCCTGGGATTTCATACCTTAGAGCAAAGCCAACCTTGGGATCCCCAGGAGGTCCAGGGCTCAGAATCCCAGAGTCCCAGTGACATCACAGGGTTCGCGACGTCGGTGATGCGCAAACTTTATGATATCACTGGGCTTCCTAGGATTTCTGACATGTCAATCAACGAAACCCTGTGATTTCATTGGGATTCCTGGGATTCCTGGGATTTCATACCCTGGAGCAGAATCAACCTTGGGATCCCCAGGAGGTCCAGGGCGCAGGATCCCAGGAATCCAAGTGAAATCGCCGGGATCGCGACGTCGGGCGATCTCATTGTGATTCCTGTGATTTTCCGGATGCAAATCAACGAACCCATGTGATTTCATTGAGATTATTGGGATTCCTCGGTTTGCATACCTTTGAGCAAAACCAACCTTGGGATCCGCAGGAGGCCCAGGGCTCAGAGTCCTAAGGGTCCTAGTGGAAACACAGGGTTCGCGACGTCGGTGACGCGCAAACCCTATGATTTCATGTTGATTCCTGGGATGTCTGGGATGCACATCCACGAAACCCTTTGGTTTCACTGGGATTCATAGGCTTCCTGTGATTTCCAGCCCCAGAGCAAAAACAACGTATTAACCCTAGTGTCACAGAAGGCCAGGGCTGAAAATCACAGAAATCCCAGAAATACCACCATGTGAAATCATAAGGTTTGCGCATCACCGACGTCGCGAACCCTGTGATTTCATTGGGATTCCTGGGATTCTGAGCCCTGGACCTCCTGGGGATCCCAAGGTTGCTTTTGCTCCAGGGTATGAAATCATAGGAATCCAAATTTTCCAAGTGAAATCGCATGGGTTCGTTGATTAGCATCACAGAAATCCTAGGAATCCCTGTGAAATCATAAACTTTGCGCATCACCGACGTCGCGAACCTTATGATATGTTGGGAGTCCTGGGGTTCTGAGCCCTGGACCTCCTGGGGATCCCAAGGTTGCTTTTGCTCCAGGGTGTGACATCCCAGTAATCCCCGTGAAATCACACGGTTTCGTTGTTTTGCACATCCTCCTAAACCCAAAGAGTCACAGTGAAATCGTAGGATTTGCGAATCACCGACGTCGCGAACCTTTTTGATTGCAGTGGGATTCTGAGACTTGAACCTTCTGGGGATCCCAAGGTTGGTTTTGCCCCAGGGTATAAATCCCAATCGTCCAAGTGGAGTCATGGGGCTTCGTTGATTTGCATCCAAGAACCCCCCGGAATCCTAGTGAAATCATGAGGTTTGCGCATCACCGACGTCGCGAACCCTGTGATATCATTGGGATTCATGGGATTCTGAACTTTGAGCCTCCTGGGGATCCCAAGGTTGGTTCTGCTCCAGGGTATGAAATCACGGGAACCCAAGGGATCCCAGAACAAATCAATTGTGCCGTGGATTTACATCCCAGAAATCCAAGGAAGCCAGTGAAATCATACGGTTTGCAGATTTCTCGTCTACAGGATGACTCACACGCTCGTTTCCCCTCTATGTACAGGAAGCAGACGCTTGCATCTGTCACGTTGGCGCTTGTTGAAATTGTGCTGCTGGCGGATGCGGGGGAGCAGCGAAGAAGAAGAGGAGCGGAGAGGGAAGGGAGAAAGGAGGGGAGCGGCTCGACTCCAGCCTCGTGGAAAGGAGGAAGGCGTAGAATGGGTGCTGGGGGGCTGTGCACATATATATATATATACATATACATAATATATATATATATATATATATATATATATATACATACATATAGATACATATATAGATATTACATATATGTATATGTATATGTATGTGTATATGTGTATGTGTATGTGTATGTGTATGTATACACACATATATGTATATATGTATGCATGCATGCATGTATGTATGTATGAATGCATGCATGTATGTATGTTTGTATGTATGCGTGTATGTATGCATTCAGGCATGCATGCATGTATGTATGTACGTATGTTTGAATATGTGCATGCATGTATGTATGTATGAATGTATGATTGTATGTATGTACGTGTACAGGCATGTATGTATGTATGTATGTATGTATGTGTGTATGTACGTATGTATGTATGTATGTATGTATGTATGTGTGTATGTATGTATGTATATATATATGTATTGTCTGTCTGTCTGTCTGTCTGTCTGTCTGTCTGTCTGTCTGCATGCATGTATGTATGTATGTGTGTATGTATGTATGTATGTATGTATGTATGTATGTATGTATGTATGTGTATATATGTATGTATACCTGCATGCATGTATGTATGCATGTATGTATGTATGTACATATGCCTGTGTGTCGGTCTGTCTGTCTGCATGTATGTATGCATGTATGTATGCCTGTCTGTATGTATGTGTGTGCATGCATGCATGCATGCATGCATGCATGCATGCATGCATGTATGTATGTATGTATGTACGTATGTATGTATGTATGTATGTATGTATGTATGTATACATGCATGCATGCATGCATGCATGCATGCATGCATGCATGCATGCATGTATGTAGGTAGGTAGGTAGGTAGGTAGGTATGCATGTATGTATGTATGTATGTATGTATGTATGTATGTATGTATGTATGTATGTATGTATGTGTGTATGCATGTATGTATGTATGTGTGGTGTGAATATATCATGTGCGAGCGGAGCATAAGCAGGAGCAGGACCAGCCAAAGCGGCCCGACGAGGGCCTGGGGTTGCCCGTGTGCGGACGTGCAGGTCCACCGCAGTATACAATCATTACCCATCGGTCGCTGAAAGTAGGGATTCTTGGGTTCCCAAATTCCGATCTACCTTAAGCGCCTTCCTGCTTCAACGATCGAGTGGCCTCACCTTTTCTGTCCTCCCAGAAGGGCGGACGGAGCCCAATCTACTCGACGCTTTCCTGCTTCATGTTTCTACATAGTTCTTCCGACCGATGGGTACATAGCCCCCCCTTCCCCTCCCGACCTTCGAGAATGCGGGGCAGAGCCTGGCGGGCGAAGGAAGCGGAGGGAGCAACGGCGGCTGCGGTCGGAGGAGGCACGCCCCGAGATCGCACCGAGACGGCCCGGGAGTGCTCGGAGGGTGCAGAGGATGCAAGGCCGCGTTGACGCGGTGCGGGGATGATGTGATGGGAGGGGCGTAGGGCGGGGCGGAATTTCTTGTGGGAAGAGCGTGGGGCGGAGGGGAATGATCCTGTGGGGCGAGCGTAGGGCAGGGGGGGCGGGGGAGGACTGGGGCCTCGCCCGAGGCGCTGGCGGAGTTCCAGAAGCGCGGGCTTCAGCGCGACATGCACCCCAGGCGGCCCGAAGAGTAGTAGGAGGAGGAGGAGGAGGAGGAGGAAACGGATAAGAGAGCGGCGGGCACGGGTGGTGATGATGATGATGCTGATGATGATGATGATGATGATGATGATGATGATGATGTTGCGGACGATGATGATGATGATGATGATGATGATGATGATGATGATGATGATGATGACGATGATGATGATGATGATGTTTATGCTAGTGATGATTATGTTGATGTTGATGATGACGATGATGATGACGATAAATCCGATGATGATGACGATGCTGATGAGGATGCTGATGATGATGGTGATGATGGTAATGGCGATGACGATGACGATGAGGAGGAGGAGGATGGTG